TTAGAATTTAACCACAATGTATGACAAGAATAAGCTTTAAAAAATACAACCAACTTCTTTTGTATTTCAAAAATATCTGAACCCAAATAAATAATTCTTTTAAAAGTACATTTCTCCTACGCTTCATTTGGTGTTAACATCTGTTAAGCTCTTGTGCAGCAACACCTACATCACTACACATTACAACATGCGGCTTGGATTTCTTCCAGGTGACACTCGGTCTAACTACTGATGCAGGTGCTCTGTACCCAGGTACAGACAAGGAACTCGACATGCAGTAATAAGATATGGTGCTTTAAAATAAGACGAGAATTCATCACAGCCTACTCATGGCCCTCAAAGGCAGTTCTTAGCTCAGCCCCATTCATCTCCTGACCTACCCTGTCCCGAGTAGTTGGGTGAGGCTAGATATCCTGTGCTTCTGCCTTCCAGTTAAAATGCATCTCTCAGCAACCAGCATATAGTAGGTTTATGATTTCTCAAGCTATGGTAGCAGGTTCTAGGCTCTCACTTTAAAATGTCTTGGCGGTCCAGTCTCTCGTCTGTCACTGGCTGGCTAAGGCTACGTCTACACTTAAAACACTACAGTGCCAAAGCTGTAGTGCTTCAGTGTAGACACTACTCCGATGGGAGGGGTTCTCCCATTGCTGTAGCTAATCTACCTCCCTGAGAGGCAGTAGCTAGGTCGACGGAAGAATTCTTCCATCGACCAAGTAATTTTTCACACCCCTGAGACGAAGCTATGCGGACGCAAGCCCTTACGTAGCACTATTCACATGGGGTCCAGTGGACAACAGGAGCTCTGTATTTCAGGACCAGCCTCCTTTGCAGCTCACTGAATTTCCAGTTGTAACGCTTGTTCTAGCTTTTCACGGGGACGGTTGGCTTTTGTAACTGCTGTAACCCAACAGCAGCCCCATGGGTGTAGCAGCTCCCTCCCATCCATTGGGGGCCCAAACCTCCCAGGCACTGAGTCCGAACGGGAGTTGGGCACTCAGTATCTTGCACCATCAGGCTTTCTGACCGCACTGATTCTGCTGCTGAATGAAAACCGAGAAGGGCATGCGATGCAGAGCCCTCAGTCAGTCCTACAGGCTTTCAAACCCCAGCCACATATCCAACCCCTTAAAAAGTGATCTATTCCTATTGCTAGAGCACAGGCAGTACTTCCCTATTAGAGTTTAAAGGCGAAACAGCTTTTGAGCTGCTTAGAAATGATCACTACTGGCTTAAGGTAAATCTGAGCACTATTCTGTGAGAAACAGCTGGTAGAGGATTAACATCACCTCCCTCCGTATGGCTGACCATCCTAATTGTTGTATCTGAAAGCACGAGGCTAGGTTAATTAAGAGTGCAAGCCAACAATACATCTTCAAACCCAGGAAGCTAGAGGACAGTAATTGCACCCTGCTGTCCTGGCTAGTCAGCAGAAGGCCACGGGAGACCTTTGCTCTGATGAATTCTCATGTGGGGCTTACAAACCATGTCTCCCTGACACAGACAACACAAAAATAGGAAGTGGGAACCACAGCCAGCCATGCAACGTGTCGTGGGGTGCATGCTGGTGGCATTTACAGAAGCACAATATGACTGTGGGTCTGCAGGCTTTCAGGGGGAGGGACTTCATTTAGTAATGTACAGCAGCAACTACTAGCCCAGCAGGGTCTGGTACCACTTCTGGTATAAAAGGTATGGCTGAATCGCAACATGCACTGGTGTTTTACCTTGGCCTTTGCAGTGACAATTCCAGTATAAACCAGTTATTGATGTGCATGTCAGTATCAGCAGTGGGGACCATTAGTATTAAGTTCCTAATTAATGAATGGTTCCCGATAGCTGAAGGTATTGAGGCAACATGGTTAAGGACCAGGTAAAGTCTTAAAGTGCCTAAGCAGGGACTCTTACAATACAGTAAGTCCACAGACTCTAAAAGCTTTCAATCAAGAGAAGCAACTTGTAAGAGTTGCATCAACTTTCCAACCACTGTCAGCCAGTTCAGGTTTCCGTAGGTTTTCCCCCTCACTGGATGAAAGGAAAAGGGAATCACATGCAACAAGCATCTACCAGTTCAGGTTTAAGACCCACTCCCGCTGGGCCTAGCTACTTTCAGTGGAACAGTCTCTGTGCTACAAGGTTAGCTAAGCCTCTGTTTCCTGAAGCAGGTTTACCGGCACTGCTCGCTCAACATTAAAGCAAATAAAAGTTGCATGTAGCATAGAGGTCCCTCTTAATCAGGAGCAAAAGGGGCAGGTCAAATGGTCCAGGATCACCCACAAAGGGGGGGGGGGGGGAAGAGATTCTGAAATTAAGAAGAATTGCGTTGTGGGAGGTAGCTCAGGGGACTGAGATTGGTGGAAGCCCAACTGCTGCTAACCCCACCTTACAGAACAGTAGACACCATTGCAGTTTTGCACATAGAGAAAAATGAGAATCTTCATTTACCACCTTAGGAGTCTGATTACACAAAGTACAGATAAAGGCTGCTGTAACTAGAAAGTCCCGTAATACTGTATCCTGCAACCATCACCAGCCTGTCAGCTAGGGAGAGACAAAAGTCTCCACGGACTTCAATATGTCTTACCCTCCTCACTCCCAATTAGCGTCAGGTTATTTTTCAGTACAAAGGTGAGGTCTTGAGACGAATATATTTCCACTCCCTCAATTAACAGGCAGAGAGGTTATGACTGAATCGTATTTCCTGTATTATTCACTTATGATCCCAGCTGTTCTTTTTCTACTTGGAATCTTGTCTAGGCTTAAGGTTATTAAGACAAACCCTTGATTTAACAAGCAGTGGCTTCAGTCACCTAGTACATTACAGTGTTTTTATATAAGTATAAAAATAGCTTTCACTTAGCAGACCCAGTTCACATGCAATAGCTGCATACAGGCGGTCACATTTAGAATCTGAGAAAGAAAAGTTCTTTAAACATGCTCTTTAAATGTGAAAACAATTCTGCAGCGTGGTGCGCAGACACATGTAAAGCTGACGGGACACATGCACACACTGCTCAGCCCTTCAGCAAAAAGCTACTTTACGCTGGCTCCCGACTGCATGCTAAAAATCACAAGCAACCTCCGACTTTAGTGAGCTTGCGGTAACTCACTATTTCCTGCTTCACCTGGTCTCACTATACTAGTGATACTAACACTTAAGACGGTCTTCCCTCCTCATTGCTTCCCCCAGGTCTGTCTCAAAGACGTTTCTCGGTGTGAGGAGGAGTCAGTGTTGCAGCACTATGGACGCTAGGAACAATATGGCTCTAAGGAGCCTCTCTTTGTTTGGGATGCACGTTACATAAGAGCGCAGCTATCGCATCAACGGAATCTAAAACACCCTAACAAACCCAACACTCTGCATTGCAGCTTCCTCTGGTACATTAGAAATTTACATTCAATTTCAGCACTGTCTCACAATCACATTAGACAGAGGTTTAAAAATATATATATACACAGTTCAGCTACTCTAGTAAAACCCATGTTCCCCCCGAATCAGACAAGAACAGTGCTAAAAAGAAATAAAACCAAGGTGATCTTTTCCACCAAGACTTTTCTCTCACGTAAAAGAACTTTGGGGGCTGGCATTGGATGTACTGCAGTAATCTCTAGCCAAGGGGTGGCAATGGATGAGATGTAACCTCCTCGGAGATTCTCCTGGAAGGAAGAGATGCATGACAAAAGCAAAGCATGAATCCTTCAGCACTCACCATAAAGGCAATATGAAGGTTCTGGCACAGTTTGCAATGTGGGAGGAGCTTTGAAAGTCCTCAATATCCAACGAATAGGCTCAGTGAAACGCAGTACTGCATGCAGCATCCAGAACTACCCAAGGGATGCTATGGAAGAGGTAGTAGAGAAGTTGCAAAGGCATGGCATTAAAAATAACTAACTAACTTGGAGTGGTGAGACAGAGCCAGAAGCAGCACTCGCTGCCGCCGAGCCTACGCTCATTTTCCTATCCAATGCAAATCTAGACCCGACACAAAACTACAAAGGATAAAACATTTACTCCAAGTACATTCAATTCCAGATCCCTCCTGAGCACCTGCCCTAAGAGGCTCCTTGTCCCCATCCCCCCCTCTGCGTGCAGCTTCAGCCGAGTTACACTATTCGTTCTCTACACTCTGAGAGAGCAACCAACAGGGGCCCTTTTTGCTATTCAACTAGCATATTTCCTTCAAGGTTACACCACAGCAGTGCTGCAAAGTCCTAGCAAGCTTTAAAGACTTGTAGGTCTCCTTCCCCATCCCCAGGTCATCAAGAAAAGAGAATGCTGCAAATGAACAAGGCACAGTGCTCTACATTCACACTGAAGGGGGGTCTCCGTGCAGTCTAAGATACAGGACTCCTTACACCTTTTCGTCTTCCAGCAAAGCTGAGAAGTCAACAGAAGAATACACGCTTTGATCTCTAGCTCATTGGCTCAGCAACAATCAATTCCATGAACCATTAACCAGCACAGACAATGCAAAGGGACACTGTGAACTATTTAATGTGGGCAGGTAATTTTTAGCCTCCATCATGGTTGGAAGCTTTAATATATATATATATCTCAGTATCACCCCTACACTTGGGCAAATGTATTTTGCTGTATATATAAAATAGTCAAAATCCACAGGGGTCATACTTCACTCCTATGCACTAGCAACGCTGATGTCGCCAGGAAAATGCAAAGTTTTAACTTGAATATACAAGTTACCATGCACTGAGGGGACTGGACGCTACTCGTCAGATGTCACCCCATAAGGATAGCCGACTTCTCCCACCCTCCCTGCGCCATGAACATGAAAGGAATGGTGTTCTTAGTAAGGTTTTTAAAAGTTGACAGTGTCCCTTTAACATTTAAAGATGGAGTGGCCAATATTTTTAGATCTCATTTCTTTGCTGGAGTACAACACATCCAGTTCTCAGCTGCTGGGAGTCGCACAGAAATCAGGTTCCTTCAGACACTGTTTTCTACACAGCAGACTCTTGCTTGCAAGTATGTTGACTGCTTTGCATTCTTCCCGATATATCAGATATTTGTAAATAGCCAAATCAAAATCAGAGTCCACAGAAGGGCAGCCCAGGTGATACTAAATTTTGTACAAAAAGCTGGGAACGTAGTCAAATCTGAGCATAGGGTTAATACCGCTGACAGGTTCCTGAATGTACTGCAATTTCAACAGCTCTGCTAGGTACTGTACCACTTTGACATCTTCATTCACAAGTCCCAGATGAAGTTTCAGAAAGTTCATCCTGCGAGACACAATGGATTCCTCTGTTTCGGTTTCGTTGATGGGAAGGTGCAAGTGATGGCAGAAGGCGTACAGGAAGGCCTTAGAACACAGCTGAGTTAGAATATTTTGGACATGCATATAGTAGGTGCTTCCTCGTTTGATCTGAGTGCGGTGATCAGCAAGCCTGGGCACCAGGGTTCCTTTATAAAGGGGGCAGCGTAGGGTCCTACTGTCTGCATCCAGAATGCTGATGTACCGGCTGTATCGACCCAAGGAGTGCAGCATATTAACACCAGCAGGGGAAACCACTCTGCGAAAGAGAAGAGAGATACAGCATGCTAAGGAACACAAGGGAAGCTGTGAAACACTGACAGATGATACAAAGACACGACGTTTGCAGAAACTAGATTGAAAGATTTCATAAACTACAGTGTGATCATCTTTAAGAGGAAACTTGTCACTCGGATTTGGTAGCAGAGATCGAATGTAGAGGAGCCTATAAAGGTGTCCACAGTGAACCTCGGCTTACACTGAAATACTCCTGAGGGAATTCTGCGCCAAAAAATTAAAAATGATGTGCAGAATTTAACAATATTGTACATATGTTATTTGTCAATAAATAAATGTGGTCCCAGCATGGCATGGGGAGCAGAGGCCATTGGCTGCATTGAGGTGGGAGATCACCCTGAAGCCCCCCCTCTCCTAGTACAGGGGCTCGGCAGTGAGCCTGCACCTGAGCCTGACACAGTGCAGGGGCTGGGCCTACCCCAGAAACATCTCGGGGCCCTGCCCCTCTGTGCCAGGCACACCTGTTGTGGGTGGGCAGGCTCAGCCCAGCAGGATCCAAGTGTGGAGGGGCTTAGTGTGGGGGATCAGGTTTCTGTGTGGGGCAGTGTGGATGCGGGCGGCTCAGTGGGAGATCTGGATTCACAGGGGCTCATTGGGGGGTTCCAGGTGCAGGGGCAATGGGACTCTGCAGGGGATCCAGGCGAAGGTGGTTGGGGCTTGGCGGGGGGGGGTGTCTGGGTGTGGGGAGAGGGGGCTTGGCGAGGGCGTCGGTGTGGGGGGTCCAGGTGCTGGGGGGGGCTCATTGGAGGGGTCCAGATGTAGGGTGGTAGGGCTTGTCAGGGTGAGGGTTCGATGGACCTGCTTAACAGGGGAGCCGAGGGGATACCGCTTCCCACCCATGATTCCTCTATTCCCTTTTCTTCTCCATTCCCCTTCCCTCCCTCCCACATTCCTCTGCCCCTGTCCTATTCCACCCCCCCACTGCCTCTTTCCCCCACCCCCTCAACTCCCCCACTTGGGCACTCACTGCTCCACAAAAAACAGGAAGGCTCCCAGCACAGAAAAGGGTAGCAAAATTAGCACTAGGACCCAGGAGGCGGCATTCAGCTGCAGAGTCAGCAGAGCAGAGATTCAGCCTCCTTCCTTCAGCTGGGCAGCTTTGCACTTGCAGAAGTGAGGGGGGGAGGCAGTGGCCAATTACCCTGTGTGCCCCCCCCCGTGCCTTGCCCCTGTTTGGGGGGGCCCCCCCCCCCCCCAAAAAAAACCCTGCACCTGTGGTCGTCCCCCCACCCTGGGCGGCTTTCCTTCAGTTTTTGGCAGGGAAACAGGAATTCTGCGGGGGTGGGAGGTGTTCTCCGGGCGCGCTGTCCCCCAGAATCCCCCCAGGAGTAACTTAAGCGAAATGCCTCAACTGCTTCAATGGACTGTCAGTTCTCAGCAAAGCACCAGTTCAACTACAGTGGTGAGCCAGTGTGCTAACTGCACAATCACCACCTGGAAGTTAAATACTATACCCAGAGGGAATTACTGCTTCCTGCTGAGTGGGGGAGGTGGTGGATAAGAAGTCAAGTCACTACTATCCAGGGGCGTGCAAGAACTAAGAAGAAATCACTGGTGAACAGATGCAAATATTGCTACTGTTCTCTACTGGAAGTGAAGGAACAACCTTTAGGGGTCCCCTTTTCCAACAGCTGACCATGTCCCCCAGAATTATTTTTGCTAGATAGTTGCTTTGATGTTGGTGAAACTCTACTTGTAGAGAAACTTTTTGTAAACAATCCTTAGACAAGAGAGTTCCACTACAGAGTCTGGGCATTTCTCGCTGAGATGCGAAGTCAAAGGACATTCACAACATGCAGTCACCTAACAAGTGTGTGTGATTTAACCGAGATAATCATAACCCTAAGACAACTTACTGCTCCCAGTTCTGCGTGGTTATGGTTGCCTTGTCAGGAGAGGTGCACCCCACCATCAAACCAGAGAGAAGAGTTGTTGATCTGTAACAGGGGGTACTAGCCATCCCTACAAACTCTATTCTCCACCCAGACACCAAAGCCAGAGCATAGTAGTAACTGGTAGCACAGTTAAAGAACTGTTATTTTGACTTACATGGATGTTGAATAAATGTACCATTCCAGAACACAGCTTAATTCTATAAAGGTAGGAAATGCAACATGCAAAGGCACTGTTTTTATATCGAGGCAAACAAAGTAATACTGTACGTTTTAAGAATTGAATAATTAGATTTTAGAAATATCTTACAGCCCCAGGGAAACCCTCTTCCAGTGCTGCTTTTCCACCGAATATCTTCACCTAAAGCAAAAGTTTCCCCATAAGCCAAACTGAAGTTTGACCCTTGCAGCACATGGAGCAATTTGGGCCTTTCGTGCCATTTTACAGTGTGGTTTCACTCTAAACGCGTTCCACTGTATTTAGACACTTCACCGCAGGGCTCAGAACAGGACTTTTGCTTCTCTCCCCATCACCTGACTGGCGGGGTTGCTAATACACGGATACAAGCAGGCCACTTTCCCTCTAACTCAAACAACTGCTGTTGGTCAGATGTTCTAGCCTTTCATTTAATCAAAAGCACATTTCTTAATAAAAACCTAATGGAAAACTAAAGGCCCATGTGACAAGGAGGACGGTTTAAAACAAACTTCAGCTAGAAGAAAAGCAGACTTCTACCCAAGAGGTTCCAACCCCTCTGGAGCACAAGAAGGAATGAATTCAAAGAGACACCTTAAAGTATTATGGCCATGCTCCAGCAAAGCACTGGACCAATACACTTGCTTGAGTGCTTTGCTGGATGGGGCTCTTTGGTATTTTAGCTGTATGATTTCCCATTGACTTTAACAGGAATCTGATGGCCAACACCCAACAGAATGCATTGGAAGTTTAACACTTAAAAGAATTTCTGGGAAGGAAAGTACAGGAGGAAATACCACCCTTTATACCAGTGGTCCCCAAACTGCGGAGCACGCCACCGTAGGGGGGCACAGAGGAACATTCTGGGGGGTGCGGCAGGTTCAGGCCAGCTCCTGGAGGGGGCGGGGAGGTAGCGCCAACCAGCTTCACCCCCAGCAGAGGCCCCAGCTTCAGCTCTTGGGCCCCAACCGCAGCACTGCTCCCGGCCCCTGGGTGGGGTGTGACATAAAAAGTTTGGGGACCACTGTCTTATACAGACACATGTACACCTAACAAGCAGAAATGTGTAGCAACAAGCCCCACCCAATGAAAGTGACTGGGAGGGGGGGTGCTTCCCGTTTCAATAGTATCAATTCCCCTTCAATACTTCCTTTTTTAACGTAAGAAGTCTCAAAAAAGGAACTATTCGCTTGGACCTCTTAACATTAATAAGCCCATGAATCTACTATTTGAAGGAGATCTCTGTTAGTTTACCTCTGCAGTCCAATCAGCTTCCACTTCTGAAAATCCATGATATTCAAAGGGGAAGTGACCCAGTGTTTCACAGGCTTGGCATACACCCCACAATTAGGAACAAAGATGGAGAGAGCAGTCACAAGTTTCTTTACCATTGCTTCATCTTCCCCCAGCACTATTAGCGTCCTTCCACTGAGCAGAGAATATATTGCAGGATGAGCAAAGGGATATTGCCTAATGAACTTCAAGGCATTCTGGCCAGCCTTTTTTTTGTGCCTTTCATTAAAGTGACTGAGAGGATGAGCCGGAGAAGGAGTCTCAGAACATGTGGATGCTGCACTGCTCACATAGCTTGTGGAGTCTGAGTATTCATCCAGACTAATTCTACTGGCCTCTCTACTGCTTAAGTAACGCGGATCAAGTTCATATGAAAGCAGTCCTCCTGAGACATCATCATGTGAAGAACAGTCTGTGAAGTTCACATGAAATCCCTGATCCACCTGTCTATATGGCTGTGGTGGAATACTGACCACACCATCATCATCACAATGTTTGTGTGTTAGGTCAGGTAGAGGCTCTAAAAAGTTTGGAGACTCTTTCCCAATACAACAGGCAGAATCAACTGGCAATTTCTCCTGTTCAGAATTGCCTTCCATCTCTTCAACGTTAGATGGATTTAAACTCGGGCTGACGTGAATACCTCGACCTTCATCATCTGCATAAGATTCTTCATTAATGGCACTTGGGTAGCTTGCTTTAAAATCTTCAGGGATCAAAGATTCTGAAGGACACAAGCTGAGGACTTCAATGCTGTCCTCACTGATGGTCCTTCTGCTAACTGCCTTGCTCCTGACCACCTGTGGACTTGGGTGGATAGGCAAACTTGCCTGGCTCTCAGATTTTGTCAGAACAGCAGTAGACTTTTCTGTTCCCAAAACCTCAATGCTTTCACCGCTACTAATACTCCCTTTAATGTCTGCATCAAGGTATTCCAAATTATCCCGTTCAAAAGCAATAGGTTCAGTCACTTCTGGTTCTTGGGAATCTTCAATCTCCTGCTCCATCTTGATAGGTACAGACTCCACACTAGATTTGTAAGATTCCAAGCTGATTAACACTTTAGGAATTGGAGATTCTTCCAAACACTTGGTGTTGACAGTGTCTTGATTAGATCCCTGACAACCACTGTACTGTTTTTCAGCTGGTTTTTCATCTAAAACAGACTTATCTTCAAAAAGGAAGTTAGTTATACTTTGCTGCTTTAAAAGTGCTTTACAGATCTGATTGGTCAAAAGGTAGCACACATCGCCTCTAAATGTTTTCTCTATTTGATTTAACTGATCAAGAGTTTGGGTGAAAAAATAAACATCACAGAGTTCCTCCAAGGTTTTCAGCTTCTTGTCAAAACATTTGGCAGATTTTGCTTTGATGAGTTTAGGGGTGTAAGATGGCATCCGTGCATAAAGATGCGTTTCACTGGGCTCATCAGGGTTAGAGGTAGTATAGTCTTGATCAAAGCTTGGGTTAGCTTGATCCAGTGCACACACTGGCTCATATGGATGGAAATCAGAATCCTTCAGTTTTCTATAAGGATATGACCTGATTTGCTTTAACAGGTCTTGATGCTCAATAATGGACTTTTCAACACTAGCTAGTTCATTAGCTTTCTCAATGGCCTGGGTTGTGTAAAATCCTTTGTCATTTGCTTTCTTCTGTATCTCTGTTTCATTGTGCAGCACTGTCCTGGTGTAATCAAGGTCTTTCAGTTTCTTTTCAAGTTCATTGGCAAAAGCTTTCCTGTTACCAGTCTTTAAGCACTCTGATGCTTTGGAGAACTCTGTAGAGAGCTCCTGAAACTGTTGCATGATTTTGTGCTCGTCAGTGGAAATGTACGCCATGCAGAAAGGCCTCACAAAGCCTCTAGCTTCAAGGTCATAAAGAGTTAGATGGTGCACATAAGCAAAAGCTCCTTCCTTGGAATCTCCCAACACCACTTTGGAATCCTCCACAAAGTTTAGCTTTGGGTAGGAGCATCCAGGAGGGTGCCCCACAAAGGAGGCTTGATAATCCACAGACATGATCCGGAGGGAAAAATAGTTCAGATCAAAAGTGCCAGAGACTTTGGCATCATCCGGGATGGTCAACAAAGGCTGCGGGCCCACTTGCTCTGAGAACTCGGAGATGAGAATGAAGTCCTTGGTGAACCTGGAGCCTGAAAACTTGGACCAGGGGTTGGCACCGTGGTTAGCAAAGGGGAACAGTGGCACAGAGTACTCCTCGGGCAGGGATGGTTCATTGTATGCCTCCTCTTCAAACTCTTCCTCTTTGGTAAAAGCCACCACATCAGGGGCGCTGATCATATTTATAGGTGGAGTGAAAGGACATGGAAAAGGGAACCCTTCCCCCAACCCCAAAACTGAAAAGATCAACCAGAACCCATCAGGGGAAGAAACGCTTCTCACACTAAAGGAACTGTCTCCTTTCCCAACCCCTGTCCAGGGCTAAGGTCCTCCCACCTCAGGGTCTCTGGGGGGTGGGAGGGAGTCAGCCCTCCTCATCCAAGGTGCCTGGCAAGTTAGTTCCCCATATTCCTTAGTTCTCAGTCCCCGGGATCAGCTGTCTCAGCCCCAGCCAAGCACTCAGCACCCCTAGAGATCAGCTTCACGCCGTTTCCAGGTACCCCTAACTCCCCAGTCCTTGGGGCTCAGTCTCAGCCTCTCCCCCACCCCAGGTTCACAGTCACGAGCCCAAAGGACCGGCCCCCCCACCGCTCCGGGATGCCGGGGGCGGGCCCCCCCCCGCCAGCTCCTCGCTCACGCTGGTCGCCTCCCGCACAGGGCCGGTTCTCTCCCCGACTCCGGACACGGGCAGGGGCCGGCTCTGCCCCCGCCAGCTCGGGCTGTCCTTGCAAGCCCGGAGGGCGGGCCGCTCCCCCGGCCCGGGGCCTCCTCCACGCCAGGCGCTAACGCCAGCCGAGCCGCCCCGGCCCGCTTCTCCCCGGCTGGCGCTCGAACCAGGAACCGTCACTTCCCTCACAGGGCCCGCGGCCCGGCAGCCATCTTCCGATCACATGACCCGTTCAGGAGGTGACCCCCTGACCCGGAAATGGTTTCCGTGCCCGGGGGTTGTTCTGTTTACCGCTGTCAGTGTAACCCTCCAGACGTTATTGAAAGCCTCGGCGGCGCCTCGCGGGCAGGAGCAGAAGCGAATCACCGTTTTTAAAAATAGAAATGAAGCCGCGGCGCCTCTTGGGAGTTGTAGTTCTCGCCCGCAGCAGGCGGCGGTGCCACTTTACGGCAAGGCGTAAAAACAGGTAAACGGCGCCCTTTCCCTCTCTCGTCACGACAGTGTGCGCCGCGGCGGCGTGGAATTCGGCTGGGAGGAGGGAAGGCGAAGTATTGGAGGGAATCGTAGCGCTCTGGTTCTGGGAGCCCTCAGCACAGCGGGGAGCGGAGCCCCTGGCATTAGGCTGAGGGGTGAGGGGGATCCCCTGCCATTGGGCTGGGGGGGCAGGGAGGGGCCCAGGGAGGAGGGGGAGCCCTGCCATTGGGCGGGGGGGGGGAGGGTTCAGGAGGTTGAGTCTAGTGGGGAAAGGACATGGGTGATGGGGTAAATACTCCATTGTTATTGGGGAAGGGACTGGAAATCTCTTGTAGCTCAGATATACATCCTGAGTTAGCATCTGCTTTAACTTTTAAAAACACGTGAGGTGGAATTTACAGTGAGCTGCCAGCAGACATCAGTGGGGAAGCTTGAGGGTCTCTAACTACTGCCCCATCAAAATCATGCCAGGGGTACTTTAGAGTGGTTGCTCACCGTGTGAGATCGCCTCCTGGAGGTGGAATCCTTAAGCCAAGACTTTTACTGATACCTGCTGGGTGTCTGATTGCGGGAAAGTGGCAGCAGCCTGAGGAAAGGGCAACATGTCTTGGCAAGTTGGGAGCTGCCCTCAGCTCTCAGAATGAACTTTCAGGCCAGGCTTTTTGCCCGCTGTGGGGTCAGGTTGCTGTCTCAGTCCTGGAGTCTCTTCTCCCAGGCTGCAGAGGATATGACATTCCGAAAGATTCAGAAGGTCCTCTGTGTGGCAGAGAAAAATGATGCTGCCAGAGGAATTGCAGATATTCTCTCCAATAGCAGAATGAGGCGGGTAAGAGAGTAAAAGCAACGGTTTCTTTTTGGGTCACTTTCTACTTGTGCTTTGTTTCTCCAGCTACATAAACAACTTGTTAGGGGTACTTGCCAATCATTCAGTTGTTTCTGGGTTAATTCATTTGGTCTTAAAATAGATATAACATAGTGGGGCTGCCCTAGAGAGTCTAAATACCACTACTGAGACTGTTTAAAGCTGATGTTATCTTTATGTGATCACATTAAAATGCAAGGCTTGCATTGTCTGCTTGAGCTCCCATTAGAGCCAGGAAATGTGCAAGCTGCATCCTCATTTTAGTGCCAATTTAAATCAGTCCCGACCTGCAGCACCCTGTTTTGTTAGAACCGTGGGCCACTCTGCAGAGCTCTACCAGTGCACTTCAATCCTTACATGCAACAGCTTGTGCTATTCCAGTCTCTGGCCTTTCCCAAACAGATTCCTACTGAAGATGAACTGTGCCAGGTTAGGTGAGATGGACAAATGCGTATCGGACAAGATGAGGCTGACAGCACCAGACTCATTTCCCCTTGTGACTGAAGCAATGTTGGAATCCTGTTCTTTAGTCCTAATCTTTGTTTCCAGACGCACAGAAATATGGACTGTGTCTTGTCTGTTCTAGTGAGGTGCTGCCTTGGTGAATTTTCAGCTGTCATTCCTAACTTGCAATCTGTTGTATATGTGAGAAATATTAGAACTTGAAACAGCCACGCGCATCTCCTGCCATGTAACGCAATTGGTTTAGAGGTCAAAAAATGCTGCTTCTTGCAGTGCTGTTATTGCTCATCAAATTCCAGTGGCTTAAATTTTTAACACAGTGAATATGATTTAATGGTTAGAGCAGAGAACTCAGTGTACTGTTCCTGTTCTGCCATTCATATAAGGCAACACCTCCCTTTTCCCCCTTCCTGGGCAAGCTATACCCTTTTATACCAATATTCCAGTCATGCACATTATCCACCTCTGTGATGCCAACTATGTCGTCGTTGTGTTTATTAACTAGCATTTCAAGTTCTTCCTGCTTATTCCCCATACTTCTCACATTAGCATACAGATCTCTACGGGCATGGCTACACTGGAAACTTCAAAGCGCTGTCGCGGGAACGCTCCCGTGGCAGCGCTTTGAAGTGCGAGTGTGGAGAGCTCTCCCAGCGCTCCTGGTAATCCACCTCCATGCGCTCCCAGCGCTCGGAGCCTGTTACAGTAGCGCTTTAAAGCGCTCAGACTTGCTGCACTCGGGGGTGATTTTTCACCCCCCTGAGCCAGCAAGTTAGAGCGCTATAAAATGTAAGTGTAGACAAGCCCTAAGATACTGATTTGATTTCCCCTGTATGTTCTCTCTTATCTCCCCCTTATCCCTGCTATAACAGCCCATGCTCCTGCCAGATCTGACCCTTTTCCCAGGTCTCCATGTTTTTGACTTACCTGTGGGCTTTTGTCATCTGCCCCTGTCGAACTTAGTTTAAAGCCCTTCTCACTAGGTTAGCCAGTCTGTATCCAGATATGCTCTTCCCCTTCCTAGATAGATGGACCCCATCTCTGCTTAGCAGTCCTTCTTCCCGGAACAGCATCCCATGGTCAGGGAAGCCATTGTTATGTGACAATGGTCAATTCATGTAACCTCTCAGTACTTCAATCTACCCTTATGTAAAATAGGTCTAATATCCTTATGGCAGGGTGCTGGGAGGCTTAATGTTTATAAAAGTGCAGGTAGATCCTAGGTTGAAAGATACGATAGAAGTAAAAAAAATATTGATTACTTGAGAATTGATGGTCTGAATCAATCTAGATAACGACACGCTTCCAAAGAAGATAATGTGAAATATTTGGTCCCAATCTAGAAACCTCTACAAACCTTGCTAAGTGGAGGATACACTCGGAACAGTGTGTGCTGAATTACGTGTCGTTTTTGTAAGCTGACAGTTGTTCATTGGGAACTTGGAATATTTTTCAGTCTTCAACATGTCTCTCGGGTGTTGTGCAGTGCTCTGTTGTACAGTGCTCTGTTGTACAGGGCTCTGACACTGTAAAGCACCATTAAGTGTCAAATGTTTCTATAAATGGCCAGTATCATTTCCATTCAGCCTGCCTTTCCTCTAGATCTTATTTAATTTAATCTGAAAAATGATTGGACACCCGAACACCAGCAGCCTGTTTTTCATTTGTCACATATTTACATGGTTTCTGCTATAGCTGTTGTTTGTGTACATTGATTTGGAGTGTTTTGTTTTGTTTCGGTGGGGGAGCAATTTTTTTAAACATCTTTTCCATTTTTTGTCTAGAGAGAAGGGTTTTCCAAATTCAACAAGATCTATGAATATGACTATCATATGTTTGGCCAGGTAGGGTTCCATCTTTTTTTCATCACGCTGTATAACCATTCTGGTTCAGGGAAAAACAAAATGCTGATGGATCATCTAACAAAAACATTAACTACAATGGTACAGAATTATGGATTCAGTAATGGAGATATCTGTGCAAGGAATGTGTGTATGAAGAATGACCAAATTATTGTGAAATTGAGATCTCAAGTTTTCATTTGAACACATAGGGGAAATGTCTTCTCCACTATTAGTGTTGTGCTGTCTTTATCTCCTACAGATACAGTATGGTTCAGTGGTTAAGGGCCGGGTCTAAGAGACAAGAGATCTGACTTCTACGTCTGGCTCTGCCACTGACCTCCAGTGTGGCCTGAAGTCACTTTACATCTCTCTGCCCTGGTTTTCCCATCTGTAAAATAGCATTGTGAGATCCATCAATGAAAAGCTCTCCATGTATGCTAAGCATTATTAAGTCAAGGAGGCATTTTCCATCTGATCACTCATATATTCAGAATTCCCAGATTATATACAATAACGTGTGTACAATGCTCAGCTATGGCTGGAAGGGAGAACTATTACTATGTCAGTAGAAGCAAGGCAGATATTGACTAGAAACTGATGTGTCTGATCCATCAAATGAGAGCCATGTGTCTGGAGCTCGTGGACACCAACATAACCAGGCTTTAGCAAAACAGAAGCAACTATTAGAAACTAATTGTCTTAATCCATTTCCTGCAGAATGTTGCTGTGGCGATGACCTCTGTTTCGGGACATTTGCTGGCTCATGACTTTAAGATGCCATTTCGCAAATGGTTAGTACCACTGATCTGAGAGAGCTGGTGCCATGCTGCTTGGCATCTTTTTTTATGCTGAGATGTGCAGCGCAATGAGCCTTTTAAGGTCAGCCTGTGAAACGTAACTTATGACAACTAATGAACTGGCTAATGTGTATGTGTACCAGTGTCCTCATCTAAGACAAGGACAGTATATAACCACCATTCTGGCACTTCAGTACACCAGTAAAAGATAGAAAGCACCAGGTAATCACTTGTGACTGTTTTGATTTCTTTTGTACATGAAGTCCTGCTGTTTATCATCTCTTCCCCAGGCATAGCTGCAACCCACTTGTACTCTTTGAGGCTGAAATTGAGAAATACTGCCCTGAAAACTTTGTGGATATTAAGGTATGTGCTTTTAAAAGGCTACGTGATACTCAAATATTAGTGACAGGTTCCACAAATATTGGTGCAGACAGAGAGAGGACTGGACCTCTGTCCATAACCTTTAGCTCTCTGGGACTGTAGCCAACATAAATATTTTCTCTCTCGTTCTTCAGACTATACATGCTGTCTGCCTTTGAACTTAGTTTCCTAGCCTACGCACAATTAGGCAGTCAGGTCAAAGGCCTGATTTATTTAAAGTAGAATCCCCTCTATTGGAATCAATGTATTAATGGCCCCAGTTCCATCTAGATTACATCGGAAAGTCCTGTGTTTAATAAAACATATTAAGGGA